AGGAAGGAAGGAAGGAAGGAAGGAAGGAAGGAAGGAAGGAAGGAAGGAAGGAAGGAAGGAAGGAAGGAAGGTAAAACAACAAAAAACAATGTAATTATATTGCATTTTTTGAAATAAAAAACTTGACAAAAGAAAAGCAAACATGACCATATCATGAAATAAAATAAGGAAATTGTAAGGAAAAAAGCCTGTACTATTGCAGAACTTCATTTCTGAATGGTAATATATCCAGCTGATGCAATTCTGTGTATATCTACTTGGAAGTTAATGCTACAGACTTTAATAGGCTTAGATCCCGGTAAGTATATTGTACATTGTAACCTTTACCTAAGATAGGTATGATATATTTTTCTTATTTATACAAAGAAAATACAAAGCAATAAATATAATACTAATAGATACATACATACATACATATCACATTACTGCATATATGTTATGACTAACCTGGAAAGTTTGGGCCAGCACTTGAAATCATATCTACAGCACTTATGTTCTAAGTTTCATGACATAAATACACTTCAAAGATAATAAGTAGAAAGTAGAAAAATAAATGGGGTATGAAAATATACACAGATCCCTTAGTCCAAGCTTTATGCAATGGAAGTTTAGTATGGATTGTCCTTCAGTTGTGGTGTTGAATCTTCATAGTGGTTTCATTTACTATAATCTATTTTCATGATTGTACATAACCTTCCATTTCCTAAGATGACATTGATATATAATTATTTTTGCATTAATTATATTTGTCTATTGCCCAACACCAGTCTTCTGAACAATGTCCCAAATAAATAAATAAATAAATTCAAGGCAACAATATTGTAAGACAATATTAAAAGAAAATGAGTGATTCCATAAATGTAATTATTTAGCAAGAAACTAAATAATTATATTTATGGAATCACTTATTTTCTTGCATTTTCTCTTTCCTCTCACTGAGTGTGTGTGTGTGTATGCGCGCACGCGCATGTGCAGGTATTTTTTGCCTGATTCCTATTGGATATAAAAATAGCTAATATCCTTAATAGCTAAAATGGAGAATTTGTGAATCCATAATCATTCCTGCTTTCCAACTGTTTGCTTTATTTTATTTTTAAATTAATTAAAAAACATTATTTCATAGCAGTTCTGTGATTGCATAGAGACAAGATCTCGTATTTAAAAAAGAAATAGAGGCAGGGATTGCAGGAGAGAGGAGGCTCTAAAAATTCTTTACAAAATGTCATTTTCTCCTTGGCATTTGTTCACTCCTAGCATAGATTCCCCATAATAAGTATATTGAAATATTGAACAAGTAAGTGTGCAAATAATTCCCTGCATTATATTAAAAGTATCCCCACAAGAATATTGCCTCGTGACCCTAAGTTCCTTCTTTGGAGAAAATAAAACCAACTAATTATGAGCAATTTAGGTACATTACTTTTGTTTCCCAAGGAACAAAGTAGGAACGTTGCTCAGATGCATACTGAACTATCTTCTCAATGGATTTGGTAAGAATTCAGAGACTTAGCTCAAAAATATGACCACAGTACTTATTGCAATGCTTATATCAATTTCGCCTAACACTTATCCATCCTTTTCAGTTATCAGTAGCAGGATGTCAGTTGTATCAGATTTTCTGTCAGATTTTCTCAACTGTTTCTTCTCAAACATTCTTTTCAAATAATTTTCAAATGCAGGCATTTTCAATGTGCAGTGGGGAAAATGACCGGGAGTCTGATAGCACCTTTTCTAACTAACCCATTTTATTAAGATGCATAGAGTGGACAGATGTCAGATCTAAACTGGGGTGAAGTGGTGGGAAAGGGAGGGAAGGGAGGGAAAACAGCCACAATGCCCCTCTGGATTCTACATAGGAAAAACAGGACAAACCTTTTGCAAAATACTTAAAGGACAGAAGTTTGACACAAGGACTCAAAACAAGGACAAATTCATATCAGAGCTTTCCAACCTCCCAGGATACTTCACAGTAGACCTCGAAGTCATCATTTAGTGGGACTTTAACAGCAGTGTTGAGTGAAAAAC